CAAACCGCTCAAACCCCTCGAGCGGCAGCAAGCTCCTCCAGCCCTCCAGCCTCTTCTAGCCTCAACAGTGAACCACTTTCTATTGTTTTCTGGATTTCAATCTGCATGGCAGTCTGCAGTGCAGCTGCTTAGTATGACTTCTCATGTGGCAGGTCCTTTCCGGTGCTCGCCAGCCCTCAGCCTTCAGGCCATACAGTTCCTGAACCAACTTCAACCGCAATCCACAACCGGCAACAAGGTGGGTCCCAAACATGTCGCCATTGCAGAAGTTCACCAAAATGAACTCATCCTCAGCATTCTTATCAACCAACATCTGCAAAGTTCTGAACGAAACGATTCCTGCAGCTTTGGTCTCTAAATCGGGGATAGGTCAGGCCTACGCTACGACCCCGGCGTCGATGGGAATCCTTATGCCGAGAAACACACGCTCATGCGGGGATCTACTGCAAATGAATGTCAGTTATTCTTGGTTCAGCGAAACTTACCCATGACAACGCAGAGACATGTATCTATCAACAACACAATATCCTCCACCGAGTTGCCTTCAAAAGAAGCATGTTGAAGAATACGTGGCCATTGCTAGTAGAATGGAGGCCATCACTATTAGGGTGGAGGCCATCACTATTAGGGTGGAGGCCATTGCTAGTAGGGTGGAGGCCATCGCTAGTAGGTAGGAGGCCATCGCTCTTAGGTTGGAGGCCGTCGCTTGCGCAAGCACTACACTTGGGCCTCGCGCTAGGCCGCCGTCCTGCACATGTGGGCGTCTGACTTGGTGCCGCGACTGGTTGCTCAGACATTCCGTTCGGCGCATGGAAATTTGAAGCTTGTTTCGACATGAAACTGATGCAAGAAACTGGGAGTGGCTTGCTTCTCCCGCGAAGCACCCCATCTGAAGACCGTTGCTCAGGCCACAGTACATTGCACATTTTGGTGCCACAGGAATCCACAGGCTACTAGTAACAAGTGCATCGCTTCTAGTAACAAGTGCCTTACTAGTAGTAACAAGAAGCTATTAGAAACAAGTGCCTTACTACTAGTAACAAGTGCCTTACTAGTACTAACAAGAAGCTATTAGAAACAAGTGCCTCACTACTA